GCACTCTGCCAGGGGCACAAAGGCTGCTCCAGGCACAGCTCCTCAGGCTGGGCCTGCAGCCCCGATGGCCTGGGCACGCCAGGGCTTTGCTGCTGCCACAGGGAAGGGTCTGAGAACAGGGCTCACGGAATCCCAGGATGGTTTGGGTTGGAAGGGACCTTACTGATCATCTCCTTCCACCCCCTGCCCTGGGCAGGGACACCTCCCCCCAGCCCAGGCTGCTCCAACCCCATCCAACCTGGCCTGGAACACTCCCAGGGATGGAGGAAGGGAAGAGTTGATGGGGCTGGCTGAGTGTTCCCAGTCTGGAACCAAACCTCACTAACAGAGCCAGGCACACAAGGAGTTCACACCCTGCTGTGATTAACTCATTTGCTCATATCCACAGGACCCTGAGTGCCTCAGAGAAGCTGGAGTGGCTCCATGAGGGAGAGCAGCAGCAGCAGCTCCATTAGCATTGGCACGGGGACAGCCAGAGAGGGAAGTGGTGACCCAGAGCAGCCCTTACCATGCTCACAGCTGGTGCCATAGAAGCCAGCAGGGCAGGAACAGGCTCCGTGCACAGGGTCACACGAGCCCCCGTGCTGGCACTGGCACTGTTGGCTGCAAGTCTCCCCGTAGAAACCAGGAGCACAAGCTGCAGGAGACAAGCAGAGATGCCATCAGGGCCCTCAGTGCCCAGGGAGCAATCCCAGCCCATGCTCAGGGTGTGCATGGCTGCTCAGCCACAAGCCAAGTCTGTGCCCTGAACAGGGAGCGAGGGCTTAAGGGCCTCACACCAAACCCATCCCAAGCTGCTCTGGCTGCAACCAAACTCACACTGCCAAAAAGGAGCAGCCCATAGGGAAGTCTTTCCCTTCCCTGCTCCCTCTGGACCGGCACCTGTCAGGAACTGGCTCCCAGCACCCTCTCCCTGGCTGTGGAGAAGCAGAGTGAAGTGAGTATTTACCTTCAGAGCAGTTGCTGCCAGTCCAGCCAGGGGCACAGAGGCATCCAGCTGTGCAAACACATGGGAGCAGGCATTAGGGACAAGAGAGAAATACTTGTCAACAGCAGCGACCGAAATTAGGAGCCTCTGCCTCTTGGTGTGCCCTCTCACCCCTGCCAGGGAACCCCCAGGAGAGGACTCCTGCACTCACACACACCCGCTGCAGCTGCCAAACAGCAGAGTCCCTGGCCAGACACCCAGACTGAGCCTTGCAGGCAGCTAGAGTCAGAGTCAGCCAGGTTGGAAAAGACCTCTGAGACCATCGAGCCCAGCCTATGACCTGACACCACCACCTCAACCAGCCCACGGCCCCGCGTGCCACGCTGCCCAGGTCTGCCTGCCCCAGAGCCACACAGAGACTCACAGCCGGTGCAGACGCCGTGCAGGCTGCAGTTGGCAGGGCCACAGTCCAAGGTGTCGCAGGCAGGGCCTGTCCAGAAGGGCCCAGAGCAGTGGCAGTGCCCGTCCAGGCAGTGCCCGTGCCCGCTGCAGTCAGGGGGCTCACAGGCTGCCTCGTGCACACACAGCACGGTGGACACGCTCCGGGGGCAGCGCCACATGCTGTCGAAGGAGCTGGGCACAGGGGAGAGGTCCCGTGAGGGCTGTGCTGCCCCCAGCCCCGTCCAGAACCCACAAAATACTCGTGCTAAACCCCATCGGATCGGTGTGGCTCCAACACGGATCTGCTCTCAGCAGCCTCAGCTCCCCAGCCCTGGCACTCCACAAGCATTTCCTTGAACGCGGTTTGCTCCGACAGAAGGGATATCATTGCCGTTATGGCAACTGAGTGTCAGACCCCTTCACGTCTCCAGCCAGAAGTGACTGAAAGGCAGGTTTGAAGCAGAGTGCTCCTGGTGTTCCCTCCTGTGAGGCAGAGCAGGGCTGCAAGGCAGGATCTCTCCTCCACAACAATAAGCTGCTGACAGATCTCCCACAAATGTGCTGCTCCGAACCTCCCAGTCTACGAGCTGCTGCCTTATCCCACTCCCACATCAGCCACAGCTTTGCTGCCTGTCTGGAGCCAGCTCAGCTCTAATCCCACATGACTGAGTGGAAAAAATATGGAGTCACTCAATTGCTTTAAATTTCAGAGCTGCTCTGTCCCCCCAGACCAGTCAGCTGCCCGTGCTGTGTTCCCCAGCCACACAGGGCAGTCCCCAGGGGGGCACTGGTGGCTCTGCACACCACCAGGAGCTGCAGGGTCACCAGTGCAGCTTTGGCCATGTGTCACCAGCTCCTACCAGTGCTCGGAGGGGTAGTTTGCCAGGGTCCCGTTCAACACCAGAGTGGCAGAGCCTCCACCGTCCAGGTTGATAGCATTGACCAGTCCCTGCTGCTTCAGGAATTCTGCCATTTCCCACAGGTTGACCCTGCAAAGCAAACAGGTGTTGACCTGACTCCAACGAAGCTGCTCTGGTGGAAGCTCTCCCACCCCAAGCGCCCTGAGTCGCTGCCTGGAGGCTGAGAGACTCTCCTAGCTCTGCTGAGCTCTGTCTCTGCCTTAGAACACATCCCTGGAGGCTGCAATGCCCCTCCAGTTCCAGGAATTGAAGACCTTAGCCAAGACCTTACCCTCTGGATTCTGTCTGTCCGTCCACATGGACCAGGACGAGCTGTCCCTGCCTGTCGTGTCCCACTGCAGTCCTGGCAGAGATGACGTTGATGAACTTGTCGAAGGTTCCTGCGCAGGACAGGGAGTAATTCACACACAGCTGGGGCACAGCTCTTCAGACACGTCTGTCTGCAAAACAGCTCCCAGCCAGGGGCTCATCAGAGCTGAAACAGCACCAGAACAGAACCAGCTTCTTCTTGCTCATCCAAGCCCCCCAGGAAAAATGTTCCAGAATGTCCCTTGCCTGGCACAGGGACAAAGCAGAAGATTCTACAAGCTCTAAACTCCTCTAAGAGGCATCTGCTTTGAGTTTCTCTGGGCAGGTTAGATTAGATATCAGGAAGGAATTGTTCCCTGTGAGGTGCTGAGGCTGCTCCATCCCTGGGAGTGTTCCAGGCCAGGTTGGATGGGGCTGGGAGCAGCCTGGGCTGGTGGGAGGTGTCCCCATGGCAGGGGGGGAACAAGATGAGCTTTAAGGTCCCTTCAACCCAAACCATTCCATGATTCCATGACAGCTGGATTTAAGAGCCCTCCTTCCAGCAGCCCCATGGGAAGGACAGTTCATGGCCAGGCTGAGGTCAGGCTCCACAGCATTTACCTGTGGTTTGAGTGTCACCACACTCAGCCGTGCGACTCTCATTGATGTACACTTCTCCATCTCTCAGGAGCCAAACCACCCCACTCACCAGCTGCACAAAGGGGTTTGCTTGATCCAGGACATCTTCCTCAGACAGGTAACTAGGAAAGAGCACAGCAGTGTGATGTTAAAGCCTCTCCTGCTGCAGCAGGCTCCAGGAGCAGGCTGAAGGGGAGAAGGTGGCAGAGCATCCAAACGCAGAGGCAAGCAGAGTGGCCCTTGTTCTCTGCTCTTCTGCACAAGCCCACAGCTAATGATGGTCCCAGGCCACTGTGCCTGAAACAACTCCTGCCAGCAACGTAGCTGGTGGATCCCAGCCAGAATAATAAGGACAGAAAGCATCTGGCAGAACACGAGGGCAGAGACACTGCCAAATCCTCAGGGGTCTGTGGAAGCAGCTGTAGCATCCTGTGGCCTGTCAGCTTCCATCCTGCACAACCAGCACACCAAACAGCTTTGGGGAAGGCTTGGAGCAGTGTCACACACCCAGGTGGGCAAGAAGGACAACAGCACCTGGTTTGAACCAGCACCAGTGTGACCAGGACAGTGCCTATCCCTCTGTGCTGGCACTGCTGAGGCACCTCCAGTCCTGGGGGCAGTTCTGGGCCCCTCATGGCAAGGACACTGAGGGGCTGGAGAGTGTCCAGGGGAGGGCACAGAGCTGGGGAAGGGACTGGAGCACCAGGAGAGGCTGAGGGAACTGTGGGGGCTCAGTCTGGAGAAAAGGAGCCTCAGGAGGAACCTTCTTACTCTCTCCAACTCCTGCCAGGAGGTGCAGCCAGGTGGGGTCAGATTGGACATTGGAAAATTCCTCGATGGAAAGGGTGGTCAGGCACTGGCACAGCTGCCCAGGGCAGGGCTGGAGTCACCATCCCTGGAGGAGCTCGAAAAATGTGTGTATGTGGTCAGTCATGGGGACAGGTCTGCCCAGAGAGGGTGTGGAGTCTCCAACCTTGGAGATGCTCAGAACGCAGCTGGACACAGCCCTGAGCAGCTGCAGTTCGGCTGTGCCGAGCAGGGTGGATGAGGCACCTCCCGAGGTCCTTTCCCAGCCCAACCTCCCTGTAGCGCAGCCAGACACGCAGGGCACTCTGCCTGCTCTCCGCGGGGAGCACAGAGACTCTGCTGCTCCCAGCGCAGCGACCGTCCCTGCTGCAGGCTGGGAGAGGAGACAGGGCCTGAGCAGCTGGCACAGCAGAGCGACTCCCCCGCCCAGGAGCGAGGGCAGAGCTGCGCGGGGAGCGGCGCCGACCCTGCGATCCGAGCACG